CCTGGTAACAGTTATTCCCAAGTATTTTATTTTTTTGGTAGCTATTGTAAATGGTATTGATTTCCTTATTTCTTTTTCATCAATCTCTTTGCTGGTGTAGAGGAATCCAACTGATTTTTGGAAGTTGATCTTGTATCCCACTATTATGGTAAATCTCAGTCAGTTCCAATAGTTTTTTTGCTGAGTCTCTTGGGTTTTCTATGTATAGGGTCATATTACCCACAGGTAGGGATAGTTTTACCTCTCCCTTACCAATTTGGATGCCTTTGATTTCCCTTTTTTGCCTTATTGCCCTGGCTAGGACTTCCAATACAGTAGAAGTGGTGATAGAGGGCATCATTTTCTGGTTCCTGTTTGCAAGGAGAATGGTTTCAGTCTCTCTCCATTGATGAATGTTGGCTGTGGGTTTTGTATAGATGCCTTTTATTATGTTGATGATTGTCCCTTCTATTCCTATTTTGCTGAAAGTTTTGGTCAGGAGTGTGCTGGATTCTATCAGATGCCTTTTGTGCATCAATTCATATGATCATGTGCTTCTCTCCTTTGTTTTATTTATGTGGTGGAAGATGTTGATTGTTTTTCTAATGTTAAACCATCCTTGCATACCTGATATGAACCCTACTTGATCATAATGAATTATTTTTTTAATACGTTGTAGTTATTGGCTAGGATTTTATTGAAGATTTTTGCATCTATATGCATAAGGGATATTGGTCTGTAGTTTTCATTTTGAGTGATATCTTCGCCTGGTTTTAGTATCAAGGTTATGCTTGCTTCATAAAATGAGTTAGGGAGGATTCTATCCTTTTCTGTTTTGGAATAGTTTGAGTAGGATTCGTGTCAGTTCTTCTCTGAATGTTTGGTAGAAGGATTTTGACACATTTTTGGAGGACATAGTTCATAACATCTTATATTTCCCAAACAGAAACCTTGCTGTTTTGGTTTACTCATCACAGTATACCAGAGGTGTTACAGTCCTGGCACACAGTAGGTGTTCCATAAATATTTGTATAACGAATGAATGAAAAAATGACGTGATGTTCATGTAGATTCCTGTCCTTTGATTTCTGAAATCCTGGGGCTGAAGCCTGACTCTTTCATTCTTACTTTAAAAACAATGTCTCCCTCACTTCAGAAAACTCAGGGAAATACTATATAACTATCTTAGTTTTCTAATGCTGCTATAACAGAAATACCACAAATGGGTGGCTTTAATAAAGAAATTTATTTTCTCAAAATTTAGGAGGCTAGACGTCCAAATTCAGGGTTCCTACTTGACTGCTCACCAGAAGGCTGGCAGTTCAAACCCACCAGCCACTCCTCAGAAGGAAGGTTGGACAATCCTACTTCCGTAGTGATACTGCCTGGGAAACCCAAGGAGGGGTCGCTATGAGTTGGGGCTGACTTGAGGGCAAACAACAACAACAACAACAACTCTAGGGAAAGGGTTTCTCTCTCTGTGGGCTCTCAGGGAAGGTCTTTATCTCTTCAGCTTTTATTCCTTGGTGCTTGGTGATCTTCATGTGACCTGGTTTCCTTCTTACCCCATCTCTGCTTTTTTGCTTCCTTACTTAATCCACTCCTTTTATATCTCAAAAGAGATTGACTGAGGACATACCCTGCACTAATCCTGTCTCATTAACATATCAAAGACAACCCATTCTCAAATAGGATTATAACCACAGGTATAGAAGTTAAGGTTTACAACCTGTATTCATAGAGGGACACAATTTAGTCAATAACAATGACCATTGAAAATGCTGTGTGTGGAGAGCTTGTAACAACTGGCAAAGTACTTCAGGTATAATGTTAATAAATAAAAGCAGGATGAAAGAATCTTACAGTCTAGCAGCAATGACATCCCAATCCACACCTATGTGGAGGAGGAACTTTTTGGAAAGAGAAGGTAACCACTGGCCACATGAAGTTGGGATGACTCTGTGTATTTTGTTTCCCCCACTGCATTTCCCAAGTTTTCTTTAGGAAACAGACAAATATAGGAACTGAAAAGAAGGAATGTATCTTTTTTATTATTGCCAATGGCAGCCCTCTGTTTTTGTACAGTAATTTAGAGTTGGCAAAGTGCTTTTATATCTGTGGCCTCTTGACCTTCACAACAGTTCTTTTAGGAGGGTGGGGAATGAGTTATTTCATTTGTCGTAAGTTTATTGAGTTTCCTCATTCGAGCTGGAACTAGGGTGAAGCTATGAGATACCTCAAAAAAACAAAACAAGACAAAACAAATTCACTGCCATGGAATCGGTTCTGACTCATAGAGACCCTCATTGGGTTTGCAAGGTGATAAAGGTTTACGGAAGTAGGTTGCCCCATTGCCCCATCTTCCTTCTGCAGAGTGGCTCGTAGGTTTGAACCACCAACCTCTGGTTAGGGGTCAAATACCTTAGATACTGTGCCACCAGAACTCCTATGGATACCAGGGGCATAAACTTTAAGGAAGTGCTTACTCTCGGGCTTGTGCATATTAAGAATCATCCCTGTATCTGAGTGCTTCCTTAAGTTTTGTACCCTAGCTGTCCCACTTGCCTTACCCTAGTCCCAGTCCTGCCTCTAGCTTTGTGCCAGGCACTATTCTGTGCTGTTTTTGTTCTTGTTAACTGCTGTTGTGTTGGCCTTCGACTCATGGCGACCTCATGCACAATGAAACAGAATACTGCCCAGTCCTGTGCCATCCCTGTGATTGGTTGCAGATAGAGCTGTTTTGATCCATAAGGTTTTTTGTTAGCTGATTTTTGGGAGTAAATCCTAGTGTATCTTAGTCTGGAAGCTGTGTTGAAACTGTTCCACATCATAGCAACATGCAAACCTTCACTGACAGACAGGTGGAGGTTGTGCACGAGATATGTTGGCCAAAAATAAAACCTGAGTCTCCCACATGGAAGGTGAGAATTCTACCGCTGAGCCATCACTGCGTCCTCACTGTTTTATCTGTGGGCATACCTCGTTCAATTGCTCTTTCCTTTTTATTGCACTTTGCAGACATTGCATTTTTTACAAATTGAAAGTTTGTGGCAACTCTGTGCTGAACAAGTCATTCAATGCCATTTTTTCCAGCAGCATGTGTTCACCTGTCTCTGTATCACATTTTGGTAATTCTCAAATTTCAAATATTTCAAACTTTTCATAATGATTCTGTGCACTTAAGAGACTACATTATAGTGTAAACAAAACTTTTATATGCAGTAGAAAACTGAAGAATTCATGTGACTTGCTTTTTTGTGACACTTGCTTTATTGTGGTGGTTTGAAACGGAACTTACAATATCTCAGAAGTATGCCTGTACTGGGGATATAATAGTGAATGAAACAGGTAAGCTCCCTACCTACTATTCTGTTCTAGAAGGGGAGGGGGGCAAGCTGAGTTCTATTGTTCACCTGTTACAGTTGAGGAAACTAGGGCACAAAATAAATAAGCAACTAAAATTCAAGGCCTCTGATCCTCTTGTCAAGGAGCTCTGGTGGCGTAGTGCCTAAGGCATTTGACTACTAACTAGAAGGTTGGCAGTTTAAACCCACCAGCCACTCTATGAAAGGAAGACAGGGCAATCTACTTCTGTAAAGATTTATTTTTTGTGCCTCAGAAACCCAAAGGAGGTCGCTGTGAGTCCGAATCAACTCCAGTGAGGTTTTTTTTTTTTTTTTTGGTAGCCTCTTGTCCAGTGGCTTTACTCCTGAATCTTGTGAGATGGCTAAGTTAATATTGATGTTCATGAGGTAATTAATGTGCTGGTCCTCATAGGTGTGAAATAGAATCAGCATTTCAGTATGGGCCACCTGTGGACACCAAAGCATGGTGGCATTTTAGGTATAGTGAGTGGCGGGTGGAGTGGATATCAGCTGGTGGGGTAGGTTTTTCTGTGGAAGGATTGCCTTTCAACCCTAAGCAAGGCCCTCTCACTCATCCTCCAGCCTCCTATGTGATCACGGACCTGACCCAGCTGCGGAAGATCAAGTCCATGGAGCGAGTACAGGGTGTGAGCATCACCCGGGAGCTGCTGTGGTGGTGGAGCATGCGACAGGCCACCGTCCAGCAGCTTGTGGACCTCCTACACCACCTGCAGCTCTACCGTGCCGCCCAGATCATCCTTAACTGTGAGTAACCAGAGTGGCCTGGGCTCAGTGTGGCTCTCTGGCCCACAGCATCTGTGATTAGTCATGGTTCCTGAGCACAGTTTCACCATTAGCTACACCCTCTGGCCTTAAAACTTTGGAAAAATCTTTTAAATTGTATTTTTATTATAATGAAGGAGTTTACCATCCAACACTGAAACTGGCAACGGTGGTTATCTCTAGGGAGAAAAATTGTGTGGTTAGGGACTAAAGTGTTGGAGGAGACTTTGTTATAAATCCTATTGTATCTTATACATTTTTGTTATCTATTCAAATATTCACTAAATTGGTAAATATAAAGCTATAACCTAAAAAATTTGGAAACTATGTAGTGGGAATGATTTACATCTTCATCCTAGTTTCTCATTTTATGTCCCAAGAAACAACCACTGTTAGCAATTGCTTGTCTTTATTACTAGAAATTTTCCATGCATAAAATTAATAAATAAAAAACAATCTGTTGCCATCAAGTCAGTTCCAACTCATGACATGTGTTCCAGAGTGAAACTGTCCCTTAGGGTTTTCTTGGTTGCAGTTTTTGCAGAAGCACATTGCCAGGCCTTGTGATTTGGGTGCAAGTTTACAGAACAAGTTTGTTTTCTGTTCAACAGCTTATATACATTTTGTTTCATGACGTTAATTACAATCCCCACAATGTAAAAGCTCTCTTCCCGCTTCCTCCCTGTGGTTACCTTTTCCCTGTGCTCTTTCCTATGCATTCCTAACTTCTGTGCTTTCTTCCGGTGCAAATGCTGCTCTTCTGATCTCCCGTGGTTGATTGTCCTAAGGAGTGCACCTTCCTGGTGTAATTGTTTACCTTGTAGGCCTGTGTATTTTTTGGCTGAAGGTTATGTCATGGGAGTGAGTTCAACTCCAGGCCCAAAGGGTAACTAGGGGCCATAGTCTTGGGGGTTTCACCAGTCTCTATCAGACCAGTAATCCCTGTCTTTTTTTATGATTTTGAGTTTTGTTTCACATTTTTCTCCTGCTCTATCCAGGATCTCCAATTTTGATCCCTTTCTGAATGACAACCTCTTTTCAGTACAAATAGTAGCATACTATACATACTATTGTGCATCTGTTTTTTTCACCTAACTCTGTATCTTGGAGATGTATCATATTGGGACATATCATGTTACATTCCTTTGATAGATATACTGTGATTTATTTAACTCATTCCTCACTGATAGATATTCAGATTGTTTCTAGCATTTTCTGTTTTATACAGTAAGATGATGGACACTCTTGGACATACCTACCTTTTTTTGTGCATGTGTGAGTATAGCTATCAGATGATTTTCTAGCATTGGAATTGCTAGGTTGATATTTTGTGTATTTTCAGTATTGATTAGTATTGATTTAATATTGTAAAATTACCCTCTAACAAGAGCATACAATCATGATGGGAAAATATTTAACAGGCAGTAATACCTTAAATTCTCATTGTTCACTATTAAGTCACTACAAATGTTTAATTACCAAACACTGAGTCATTGCTCTTAGGGGAAATACTGCAAGCCTCTGGTCACAACATTTTCGTCAGCTAATCAATAGATAACCTTGTTTTATGTGTGCATAGGATCACTGTGAGTTGGAGCAAACTCAACAACATCTAACAACAACATTATTGATCGATTAACATTGAACTCACAACTAATAGCATTACATCAAATGCCTGAACAAAGCTTATCTGACATACATTATTTTTCCCCCCTAAATCACATCTTGCCTTCTTGCACGTAGGAACACTAGATAATGTCTTAACACTATGCTTGGGGGGCCATTTTAAATGGCAGAATCACCAAAAAAAAATGCAAAAAAACTTGGCTTGTTTAACCTCATCTGGGAATGTGCACATTGGGTGACTCAAATTTTTCACTGCTCTTGTACATGCTTGTGAATGACTGCAAAAGTGCCATGAGTTTTGGTTTGGGGGTTACAATTAAATTTTAGTGAGTAGGTGAATTTATTAGTATGGAATCTTCAATCCAGTCAATTGAGAATTGATTGGGCCTTGAAAGGTGGCTGTGGAAGTTGAAGGAGTAGAGTATGTGAAGTAACTGGCATTCAACCAGGATCAGCCAAAGTCAGCGGGAATGAGGAGGTTTATATCCCACTAAGGTCCCTTCCCAGGTCCATCTCACATCCATAGGCAACCCTTCAGTGTGGGGCCAGGAGCTAGTCTTTTTTTTTTTTTTTCAATTGGGATTTGGGTGGAAGTTTATAGAGCAAATTCATTTTCCATACAGTATAAATTATACACACTTTGTTTCATGACATTGATTGTAATCCCCACAGTGTAACAGCTCTTTTCCTACTTCCTGTAGTTACCTCTTCCCTGTGTCCTCCTTTCCTATGCATTCCTGCCCCCTGGGATATCGCCCTGTACAAATACTGCCCTTCTATTCTCCCATGATTGGTCATTCTAAGGAGTGTATCTACCTGATGTAAATGTTCACCCTTTATGCCTATTATTTGGCTGAAGCCACAGCAGTGAGTTCACATCCAGACCTGAAGGGTAACTAAGGGCCATAGTCTCGGGGGTCTCACCAGGGTCTATCAGACCAGCAAACCTGGTCTTTTTTTTTTTTTAATGATTTTAAGTTTTAGTCCACATTGTTCTGCTACTCTATCCAGGATTGCCTACACTGATACCTTTCTGAGTGGTTGACAGTGGTAGGCAGGCACCATCTAGTTCTGGTCTCATGGTCATATAGGCTGAGGATGCATGGTCCACTAGTCCCTTGGACTAATTGTTCAGGAGCTATTCTAAACAGTCACTTACTGAGCACCTGTCCAGTGCCTGGCACGGTCTCAGGTTCTAGAAGTACAGTGGCCACAGAGTGACAGATCCCGGCCCTCAGTAGTTGTGAGGGGACAGTCAATGAACAGGAAATAAACATGTGAAATAAACATGCCAATTAAAGAAAAGGGCTGATAGGATACAGTGGCCAGGTAGGGGAACCTCTTGAGATGGGATGGCTAAGGAAGGCCAGTCGGAGGAGGTATGACTTGAAGAGCAGAAAGAAAATAGGACGTTGGTGCAAGAAAGTCCATGGTATTGAAGGAACTAGAAGAAAGTGGTTGTGGTGGGAGGGAGAGAGCAGGGCATGCAGAGCCCCAGCCTGAGACCCTGCCTGGGGCCTAGTTGTTGTGTCTGGGGCTTCTGAGCTGGGAGTAACCTGGCTGAGCCAACAGCAGACACAGTGGTACTTGCCTGACTGTACTTCCAGCCTGCTAGAATCAGAGAGGGTTTCCAGAGGAGGGTGGTAGGATTTAGAACAAGGAGCTGAGGGGTGGGGTGTTAGAGGATTCTACCTACAGAGATAAAACCTGAAAGCAGGGTGACTCTGCAGGTAGGGGTTCAAAAGCTGCTTTCAGGGAATCACGGGCTACATGGACTGACATGGACTACATGGACTGGGTGCCGGAGGCCAGTAGGGAAGCAGGCCATGTCCTGTCATTCAGCCACCAAGTGACTCTCCAGTACATAGGGTGTCCAGGGGTCATAGGATTTCTGCACACCTGGTCTAATCTGATAAAGTAAAGTTCTGGTGGCAGGATGCCCGGTCTGGGGCAATAATGGGGAAGACACTGCCTATAGTAGGAGTGACAGTCTAGCATAGATTCTACCAGTTGCCGTTGAGTCCATTCTGACTCATGCATGGCAACTCCATGAGTGTCAGGTTAGGACTGCTCCATAGGGTTTTTAAGGCTATTACCTTGAAGCAGATCGTCGGGCCTGTCTTCTAGGATACCTCTGGCTGGGTTCTAACTGCCATTCTTTTGGTTAGTCCAGCACTTAACCATTTACACCACCCAGAGATTTTTCATATACTCTCCCTGCCCCGTTGCCAATCAAGTTGATTCTGACTCAGCCACCATATAGGACAGAGTAGAACTGCCTCATAGGGTTTCCAAGGCTGTAAATCTTTATGGAAGACGACTGCCTTATCTTTCTCCCATGGAGAGTGTTTTGGTTCTCTGTTGTTGTTGTTGTTAGGTGCTGTCGAGTCATCTCTGACTCGTAGCGACCCTGTGTACAGCTGAATGAAACACTGCCTGGTCCTGCTCCACGATCCCTGCTATACCTCAGCCCATTGTTGCAACCACTGTGTCAGTCTATCTTGTTGAGGCCCTTCCCCTTTTTCATTGACCCTTCACTTTACCAAGCATGACATCTTTTTCCAGGGAATGGTCTCTTCTTACAACATGACCAAAGTAGGTAAGATGAAGTCTGGCCATTTTCGCTTCCAAGGAGCATTCTGGCTGCACTTCTTCCAGGGCATATTTGTTAGTTCTTTTAGCAGTCCATGGTACTTTCCGCATTCTTTGCCAACACCATAACTCAAAAGCATCAAATCTTCTTTGGTCTTCCTTATCCATTGTCCAGCTCTCACATGCATATGAGACAATTGAAAATACCATGGCTTGTATCAGACACACCTTAGTCTTTAAGGAGACACCTTTGCTCTTCAGCACGTGAAAGAGGTCCTTCACAGCTGATTTGCCTAGTGCTATACATTGTCTGGGAGCTCTGGTAGCATAGTGGCTAAGACACTTGACTGCTAACCAGAGGGCTGGCGGTTCAAACCCACCAGCCACTCCTCGGAAGGAAGATGGGGCGATCTACTTCCATAGTGATACTGCCTCAGAAACCCAAGGAGGGGTCGCTATGAGTCGGGTTCGACTTGACGGCACATAACAGACAGAAACAGACATACATTGTCTGATATCTTGACTGCTGCTTCCATTGGTGTTGATCGTAGAACCAAGTAATATGAAATCTTTGACAGCTTCAATCTTTTCTCCATTTATCGTGATGCTTTGCTGCAAATCCTGTTGTGAGGATTTTTGTTTTCTTTATATTGAGGTGTAATCCATACTGCAGACTGTATTCTTCAATCTTCATCAGTAAGTGCTGCAAGTCATCCTCACTTTCAGCAAGCAGAGTTGTGTTGTCAGTGTATCGCAGGTTGTTA